AGGACTGCCTTTTTTCACTTACGTAATATTGCAAAAATTTCAGATCAGATTCAGAAAAATTAGTTCATGCATTTGTTACTTCTAGCCTGAATTACTGCAACTCCTTATTGCACTGGTGGCATTTTAATGCATGTGACAATAAATTCCTTATTGTCCTTAAATGTATAGTTTTCAATAATAAATGAGTAATAATGTAATATTTACATGGGTTTAATGGAGGTTTTCTTCTGAAATTTCCATTATTCCTGTCAACATTAAGTTCTTCCCAGAAATCCTCCCATATAATTATTAATAGAGCATTACCAAAAAGAATCCTCTAAGTTGGGTACTTTTGAAATCTACTGTACATTATTTGTCACAGATTACAAAGACACTTAGATTAATAACTATGTATTAGATAAGCTATGCCACTGAAAAACTCTGGAAACAGCTAATAAGTGTTATTTATTATACATTAATTCTTTTTTGTAAAACTATTGTTCCCATGTTGAAAAAGGAGCTTTCCTACTCAAGAAATAACAACTCTACTCAGTTACTCAAAACTGCATTTTATTTTATCACAGTACATGGACAGAATGTTTTGTAGACAATAATAGAGCCATCTAAAAATAATCACATTAATTCAATCATCTATCTCAGATCACAAGTGCAAATAGTTAATGTCAAAGACGTTAAAGGTCATCATGGATACTGACAAATACTGACTGCATCGATAAATCTGGTCCTGCCCTCCTGTCATTTTGCAAAAGTGGCCCTGGAGCAAAGCAGCAGAGCTTACAGCACCTCCAAGAGGTCAGAGCCGCAAACTGAGGTAATCAAGACTGAGGAGTGTATTCTGGTATCTCTCCTCCTGACAGTAAACAGGTCACATAGATGTATCTGGGGTTCATTGTGCTGGCCATGCCAACTATTCAAACAGCTTCTTCGTAAGCCTGCAGTTCAGGTGATTGATCAGGCAGCACTTTCTTATTCACTTCACTCTCTGAAGGTGTTGAGGAAATGAAATGGTTGTGCATTTCTTTAGTTTAAACAGTCAGTTTCCACTGACATAGAGCAGTCAGAACTGTACCAAGACATCTGAAACTTCCTTCAACTTCGATAAGTACAACAGACCTTGTTATGAAATCCTACTTGGCAGAAATAATAATTTCTTTAATCTTACCCATCATCTCCTCATTAATCTGCTAATTTTCCACCTATGTACATATGCTGTTTGCTATGGAAGGCCAACTACGACCACCGTACACAGCGTACACAGATCCACACATTAGTAGAATAGTACAGAAGCAATGCACATCCCTGGACTTACTAAGAAAGTCAGACATTATTCCACTGACGGTGACTTTCTGTAGTTGACAGAAAGGAAATCTTTTATCCACAGAATCAAGTCAACAGTAACCCCAAGAATACTGTAAAATAATGTGTGTTATCATAGAAAAAGCTAAGCTAAAATCAAACATTTTCTTTCATTCACATCAACAAGTCACAAACTTACATAAATGGTCCTACAGCGAATGAGCATGTAGTGTCTTGTCTTGTCCCAAACCCCACAAGGGACATCAAACCCATCATTAAACACATTCATACTTTTCCTTTATGCTGCAGGAAGTCCATCATATGCACTGTAGCCGTGAAAGCTTTGGTGTAAGCCAGTGTTCAACTATTATTTTTTACTTTTAAGAAGCAAGATAAAAATTACTCACCATTTTCTTGGCAGATTCTCGCAACACCTCCCTTCGTAGTGTATGAACAGCAGTCCGCGTTGGCACTCTGTACCTTTAAATAACAACATCAGGGAGGCGGTCCTTGATCTTTTGCTACCCAATCACCAACGCCCTAAAGATGACTTTAACCAATCAAAAGTAGGATACAGTAGTAAAATACTCGAGGACAAACTCTTATTGGCTGTTAACTGCCACGTTGTCGCGCAAAAGCGCACTACTACAGTACGGTCACAATGCAATTCCGCCCTACCAATATTCGCTGTGTTTCTCAAACCGGGATGACCATAGACATAAATACATAGACGTCGCATTGGCCGCTTTGGCTGGAATCTGTCAACGTCGCCGCCATATTGGACCGGGAAAGACTGATACACCGTGTTTAAAATGAGTTTCTTCACCATGTTTATTACATTATTCACCACACTTGCAAATTGTGGTGTCACTGTCACAAACGGTTTATTGTCCTCAATTGTTTTGATCAATATTCATTCAATAATGTTGGGGTGCTGAGAGAAAATCGGTCTATAATGACGTTATACTAAAATGTTAAATGCATGACATTCATGATTTTAAGGTTTTTATACAAATGTCATAGAATGGACTGCACTTATATAGCGCCTTTCTTCCAACCACTCAAATGACAGAAAGCCTGCCATAAATATCACTGTATAAATGAAAATCTGAGTAAAGTATGTTATATGTTAGCCTAAATAAATCCACCCCCCAAGTCATATTAATACTCGCATTCCTCGAGGCACCGGCCAAGGAGGTGGAGTAGCAGCCGCTTTTTTAAATTATGACTATAGGAGAGAAAATTAGGTCACCAACATGCCCTCAACAGCTATCACTGGGCTCTCCAGAGTTCAGGAACTTTAATAATGCTTAACTCAGGGTATATATTTTAGAATGTTTTTTCTGCTATCCAGTTTTCTTCATCAGTTAAACTTCAATAATTTCTTCATCAAAGCCATCCAACCTGTCTATTAGTCATCCAACTAGGCTGTCCCTTAAAGAAGTTGTACCCTTAATTTAGGCACTTTACTACGATATGATTAATTCTTTCTTTACTGTCAGGATATGTACCACAGTTTCCTTTAAAAGTAGCTGTAAATTCACCCTTTCTTAAAAAGGCTCCCACTTCTCTGACCAGGGGTTCTTAGGGCAACCCGTATAGGACCTGATTTCTGAACCTCCCCTTCCTCTCTAAGATTTCTGGGAGAAAGTAGGTCGCCACAACAGTTGTGTGACTTTTTTACATAGCAATATTTATTTGAGAATTTTCAGTTTCAGGATTTAGAGTTCATCACAGCACAGGAGGACAGGGCTCTTGGTTAAAGTTGAGTACATGGACTTTTGGGGATTGCTGTCCGACACTGTACTTGTATTATTAGACCTTAGTGCTGCATTTGGACACCATTGAGTAGGGGCCTTTTAGGACGTTCTCTTTGGATTTAAAGCTTATAGTTAGGGGCTGAGATCAGGTGGAGGTTCCTGAAGCATCCCTTATGTTATGCTGCTATACGGCCTAGACTATCGGGGGGATTTCCCATGGTGCACGAGCTTCCTTCTCTCCTCGTCTTTCTGCACTCATTCCATGTCCTTTAAGCCAGTTACTCTCTCTCTCTTCCCCGGAGTTCTTGTGGCTTTCTCGTTCTCGGCTTGGTCTATCAGGGTCCTGGTGCCTCCTCGCCATTCCGTCCTGCCTTGACTGCCATTGCTAATATCACTGATATTATTGTTATTATTATCATTAATTTATTATTACTACAGTACTATTTTACTATTGTCACTGGCTCATTGCAAACAGGTCCCCCCTACTGTTGCCTGTTGTCGTCGTCATCATCTTCTTCTTCATGTATCATTGTCATCATCATGTCACTACTATAGTGTAGTTGGTTGCTATGTATGTTGCTGGGTGCACCTGTCTTGCTGTCTCTCTCTTCTTCTCTCATCTCTCTTTCTCGTTTCTTCTCTCTCTTCTCTCTCTCTCTCCTCTCTTCTCCTCTCTCTCTCTCTCTTCTCTTAACAACAACCTGAGTCCAGGGAGGCAGACGCAT